TAGTGTCTTAAACTAGACACAACGTAACAAAATACAATGTGAAAAGATGTGTTCCTATGAAAAAACAAGTGGAATGTGTTGGGAGACAAGTTTTAAAGAAGCTACTTGGAAAAAAAAAAAAGAAGCTACTTGGAATGGACAAATAACTAGGACATCAGGAAAAAAATTCATCTAGGGTTTGGTAGTCTGCTTATCAAGCACTTACATTCTCATTAGAAACTAAAAACTGTCTTTCATAATACATCTATAATACATGGCTTGTTCAAGGAAGATGGCAAACTACTTACAAACGGTTATCCAAATACTATACACATCTAAGTTCTAACTTTAAAATGTTTCAAGGCAAGTACAATTAGGCACTTGAACTATTTTTCAATTAATCAAGAAGCTTCTACACCTGAGGTATTACCTGAAGGATTTTTTTAAATAAATGGGTTGGTTATTGTTAAAAGACAAAATTAAAAACAAAATTAATACAGCTCTAGGTGGCTGTTTCCCTTTTCTAGGTCAAAAGTCTCTTTTAAGGCTGAAAATGTTTTTCCTGAGTAGATTTCTTTTTAAAGCTAGATTACTTCACGTGTGTATGTTCTTCCTACACATTTAAGACTTTTCTCGGGTTATTCCAATTTTCAAGCTTTTAAGACGGAAAAACTTCCTTAGTTCACTTTTTGAGGGGGGGGAAACATTTTATTGTGGTTTGGATGAGAATTCACAGGGCAAACTTGTCTTCCCTTCAACAATTTAGTCAGTTTTGTGACATTTGTTCCAATACTTCCTGAGTACCCGCCCCCAGCACCCCCCCACCTTCCTGCCTGCCTTCTGAATTTTGTTTTGGGGTAGATACCGTCTTCTTGGTCTCATATGCTTTAACTGTAAAGATGAGCACTTTATAGGCTTTTCTATGGTTGAACGGTAATTTCCAGTGGTTTCAGTTTGGGTTTGAAGAGCATTTAAGGTCAAGAATCTCGGAGGCCCCACCAGTGTCTACTGGCAGAGAATGAGATCGTTTTAACTTAGAAGTTTGTTCTACATTGCCCCCAACTACTCTGTCCAGGACCGTCTGATGAGTGGCAGTGGTATCAAGGCATCAATAGTTCTTAGGGTCTCAAGCTAGTAGCTGTAGGTTCATTAGTCTGCTGGCCTAATTATGTTTTACTTATCTTCACAGTTAGCTGAATGAAGTTAGACATAAAAGGACAAATATCCTATGATCCCACTCAAAGGTACAGCATAAAGTAATTTTTATTAGGAATGGCTGGGAAAGGGGGCATAATTACTTGAGCAAGTTTCTTTTAAAGGTGAGAGATGTCATGTAATTATACATGCGAAAATGGTTGAAAGGGCAAATGCTTTCTCTGCTATTTTACTTTAAATAACTAGTAAACTTTAATACCAAAAATGCCTTGCTGGGAGGGACTACAGGTATTTATGATGTCACGTAAGTCATTTATACTTCTATTTGAACACTATTAAAAGCCCCATTTGAAAAAGATCAGTATCTCAAATAAAGCAATGGATATTATCTCCAGAAAGCAATGATGGTGCTATAACATTGCAGAATTCTTTTTTGCGGCACCATTACAATGAATGAACTAGTGATTTTCATCTTAAGAACTACCATAACCCAAGGCACATCTTAGCACATTCAAGTTAGGGATCACCTGAAAGCTGCCCAGTTTCTAACTTTGGTTCCTGGTTCCTACTTAATAGCCACTCTGGGGGCTGGAGATAACAAGCAAATCAGTGCCTAGCAACCACACCTTAGACCAGTGGTTCTCCACCTGTGGGTCTTGAGCCCTTGGGATCGAACGACCCTTTCACAGGGGTCGCCCAATTCATAACAGTAGCAAAATTACAGTGATGAAGTAGCAACGAAAATAATTTTATGGTTGGGGAGGGGATGGGGGGTGTCTCCACAACATGAGGAACTGTATTAAAGGGTTGTGGCATTAGGAAGGTTGAAAACCACAGCCTTAGACGGCCCTTGGCAAATAAAAGTATAGAGTTTAATAAAATGTAACCCATTAATTTCATTTGACTCATTATTAGGATTACTCAACTACTGTTGCCAACTGGTAGAACGGTGGCTAAGCATGGCAGCTAACAGAAAGGTTAACTGGAACTCACCAGCCACCCAGTGGTAGATGGATGTGGCTGTCTGCTCCCATAAATATTACAGCCTTGGAAACAACCAAGGAGCAGCCCTACTACTGTCCTGAAGGGCCGCTCACTATGAGTCAGAATACGTAGTTACAAATCTAAGACACATTATTTACTGGTTCCTTCCTGTACCTCCTGTAAGGACAGGAAGCCATTCTTCTCCGTATATGGTATTGCTGTCATTGCTTTAAAAAAAACTTAAAATCTGAGATAAGTAGGACACTGAAGATCTTTACCTGATTCTCAACCACCTTCAGGGGGTAACTGCTCCCATTTAATTGAGCTTGATTTTCTCAGGGAAGCGTCAGGTCAAGCAACTCCTTGATGATAAGTTGGGCTGGCTCCTTCTGGAGCACGTTTTACACAGCATACTTTTGAGTCTGAATGAAGTTTTCTACGTGTATTTCCTCATTTTGCCTTTTATGTTATCATTATCATTGTGCAAGGCCAAAAACATGATACGCTAACCAATTTCTGGCCACATGTCATCCAAGTCCATATAGAAGAGGTGTTTTAAGGAACACTAGTGTTAGACACCCTTCCTCAGCCTCTTTTTCCTACCTCCGATTAAGAACTTGGCAGGAAACATTGACAATATCAGCACACACTATAATTTCAAATTAACCTGGCAAGAGAAAGATGAACCCCAAGTTTTTCATACCAAAAGTACACATTGTGAAAACGATACCAGTAACTATTTTTCATGGTAACGATCTACAACATTTCTAAAACTAACATAGTCTGCATCTGTGTCAGCTTACTAAATGGCGAAATTAAACACTTGATAACTGGAAAATAGGTTAGAAAGAGCTCTTCCGGAAAACAAGAGTCTGGTTTAAAAAAAAGCAAGCTAAGGTACATAATCATGAAACTTTACTAATCCTTAAGTATAAGGACTCAACTTCCCCCCCCCACCCCAGCTTGGCCCCCAACAGGAGAGATCAACTCTGCTGCATTTCATTTTCTATTTTACAACAAGGGGGAAGACATTTTATGGAAGACATTTCCAAAGTCAACATGATCTCCTTGAAAAAGCTGGAAAAGCCCATTTATACAGAATCAGTACCTGTCAATATCAAACGATCCCAAATTTAAACGGGGGTGGGGGGGGGATATCGAAAAATCAGTAGTGGTGCTGGTCTATTGCTATTACTTATTCACTTAAATACCTGTGTATTTCCTGTATATTCATAGGTATAAATCATGCAAAGACCTCTAGCAGAACCTTACTCTTGAAAAGACCAAGGATGGATGCAAAAGCTTGCTTAGAATTCTCCAGTTTCTTAAATAGTAATGATACTAAGGTTTAAATTTCATCCAATCTTTCAAAGTAGAAAGCAAGCACAATTCTCAAGAACATGGGCAATAAACACTATCTAGCCCCCATAATAATCTTATCAATAAACAAAAGCTATTAAGAAATTACTCTAGTCCTTAAGATCTACTCACTCTACATAGGTGATGTTATTTCCCCCCATTGTTAATGAAACCAAAAGGAAGCAAAATTAAACGTGCTAGCTTTTTTTTTTTAAGTGCTAGTTTTTTTCCTAAGAAAGTTCTCACACACCAGCAGCTTTTACACTTTGTGTACGGAAAACATGCAAATACCTACCTGGAATCACAACCCTCCTTAGTAGAGGGTAAATGTTAACACACCCTCCTGTATGTCTAAAACCGACTTTTGTTTTAAAGGACATTATAGTAATTTATAATAAATCCTTTGAGTCTAAAATACACGCCACATAAAATGTGATTAATAAAATTACTGTTCTTCAAAAAGACAACCTGAAGAAAATTTCATTTCAGAGAAAGTTAGAAATTAAAGCTATTCCATTGATAATTCAACACCAGGAGAGAAACCTACATACAACTTTTAACAAAAAACCCCAAGCCCACACCATTATCAGAATAATCCCACATTGGATAGCTCTTTCGTGAAGGCAGAAGTATTAAGAATAATAACCATTTATAAAATGGCCTTAATCCAGAAATTCTTGGTTATTAAAAAGTATTAATATGTATAGGATAGCATATGCTAATAGGATCACCTACCAATTAAGCCCTAAATTTAAGTATTTCAGAAAGCCATTATTTGAGTCAAGATGACTGATTCTAGAAAAATCTCGACTTCAAGACATCCATAACCTTTATCATGGTTGTCAGCATTTAAAGTTGACTTCCAACACTTAAATGCAGGAAGCTGCCAAAGTTCCATTGCAGGGCAGACTTAATACATTAATATGAAAGCATATGTGTGTACCTTGTCTATTATTTAAAGTCTTACATAAAACACGATATGCAAAATCCTTGTATGTACCAAAACCAAATGCATCATGCTCCATCCAGTCAATTCCAACTCACAGTCAACCCTACAGGTCAGAGAACTGCCCCATCATGCTCCAAAGGCTGGCACTGTAAAGGAAGCAAATTGCCACATCTTGCCCGAGGAGCAGCTGGCGAGTTTAAACCACAGGCCTTTTGGTGAGCAGGCAACCACTTTAACCACTGCACTACTACCAGGGCTCCTTCCATCTATGGACATCTAAGAAAATTAGTAGTTCTGGAATTACTATAGCTATAATTGCAATGGTGACATTAACATTTTCTTTTCAATTAATAAAATACAATCACCAATCTCTTTTATCAAAAATTAATCGATAATCATTGCTTTACTTTAAATTGTCTTATTTTTAGTAATAACACCTTAAAGACTTTAAAATCTAGAACATTAAAATTTTTAAGGGGAGGACTCTGTAAAGAAAAAGTCTCACATAATGTAACATTCTACATGGAACCTCTATTAGAGAAACTAGAGAAACGCAAGACTGAACAGTTCTCACCAGTACATCATTGCAGATATCCCTTAGCTCGGTCTCAATTTTCTCTCTGTATTCTCGAGCCATCTGCTGCTTTTTCTCAGCACCTTCCGTCTTTTGCTCAATACTAGAGACGACCCTCCAAGATGACCTACGGGCTCCTACAACATTTTTATAAGCAACCGAGAGCAGATTCCTCTCCTCATTGGATAATTCAGCTCCTTGCTCAGTTACAGACTTCATGCAGGCTGCCATGTCGTCATAGCGCTCAGCCTGCTCGGCCAGTTTGGCCTTTTGCACCAGCTCATTTTTATCCATGACTGGATGTTCTGCAGGGGGGAAAAAAGTTGCATTTAGATAATTTCTCCATCAAAACATTCAAATTGTATCTGTTGCAAATAAGCCACATTAACATCACAAGAAATATATATATTTTTAAAAAGCAACCTCAGTTAACAGTTTAAGGATTAACATATCTTATAGGTTACTCAAAGCACATTTAAATTATCCTACAACTTACACTTGACCAGGATAAACTCCACTTAGTAATGTAACAAAACTGAAAATTTCTACCTTACTTCCAGAATCATCATTCATATAATTTTACTCACACAATAAAGACTTCTTGTCAGGGGTGTTTAACCTCAAATTTTGGTTATCACCCCCAACCCAAATCTACTGGGTCTTTGCAGTGTTTTCCAGTTGATCCAGGAATGGTGATTTTCTGGGAGAAATGACCAAGGATCAATAAATAACTGACCCCAAAGGCACATACATTTCTACCATTATACATGTGCGGAGTCCTAGAACATCAGACTCTTACTCATATACAAGAGCATTAGAATTCCCCATCAGAAGTGTTTCCAATGCCACCATTCCAGTTTTAATGAGCTCACTGTGTTGTCTCTAGCAGTCATGATCAAACTAAATGCAACCATTCAAACTGCCCTTCACATCTGATTCTTTCATTTGAAAGCTCCCTTGACCTTTCCTTGTATTTTCCCTTCATTTTGCTTTAATGATATCCTATGGAAATAGGCTTAAGGTACAGAACGATACTAAATCGTACAGTAATCCCACAAGCTAACAATTTTACAGCCTGAGCGGCACTACTGTATAAAGGTGAACAGAAGAGCCCTCGTCACCATGGGTGTTGACTGACTCCTCAATATATTATTCTTCACCTTGCCAGGGAAATCACATTTCTCACCCGCAAATAAGAATAAATCAATCCACGCTAAAGCTATTGCTGTCGAGTCAATTCTGACTCGCAAGCTATCAGTATTTACACAATCAACCAACTAGCTTGGATATGAGACATTGTTTCATGGTGTAAATTATTTAAAATATACGATCCAGTATCTCCCTCACCTCACCCCGGCACCATCGGTTCCCCAAATTTATCTCATCTCTCGGGAACTCAAAGTCACTGGTGAACGCTGTCCTTAACTACATACCCCTGAAAGTCAGTACAAAGAGAAATGGATTCGATTTCTCACCAGGGCTCCAAAAGGCCTCGCCTCCATATTGCGGAGGCCTCGCCGCACCCATTTAACCCTTAACGGACTTCAGATGTTGCGGTGGGGAAACGCAAGCGTAGAGGGTGACTTTAAAGTGCAAGTGCGCGCATCCCGCAAGCCCCCCCCTGGCTCCGCCCCGGCTAGTGCCTCCGCACCAGTCCCCGACGTTCCCTCTTTGTCATGGCGGATCTGTGTCAAAGAGCCCAACCTACCGCAGAGTGTTAATCCCCCCCCCTCTTGCCCCCGCC